GGGTAGTGCATGGGAGTGGACCCGACAATGCCAATAGGCTTTTGACGAAGTCAAAACAAAGCTGACCAATGCTCCGGTTCTGGTATTGCCAGATCCTTCTAAACCCTATGAGGTGGTCACAGACGCCTCGACAGTAGGGATTGGGGCGGTACTCTTGCAGGAGGCCCGTCCCGTGGCATTTGAGAGTAGGAAGCTCTCCCCGGTAGAGCAACGCTATACGACATCAGAACAAGATTTGCTGGTGGTCGTGCATGCGCTACGAACATGGCGATGTTCTTTGGAAGGTGTGGAATTTGTGGTCACAACGGACCACTGTCTAAACACCTATTTCTCTTCTCAAGCCACGCTCACTCGTTGCCAAGCCCGCTGGGCTGAACTCCTTAGTGGGTTCACATTTGATATTCGTTATCGTGCAGGTTCTACAAACATGGCTGACCCCCTCAGCAGACAGCCAATAGGGGCAGCGATCGGGCTTGATGAAACCGAGCATAAGGCGGTGTTTGTTGCTTGTTTTGGTATTGTTGCAGTAGCTTGAGTGAGTGAGGTCACCTTCAGTGGTTTTCTGAAACACATCCGCACACGATACCATATCAATTCCTGGTTCCAGAACCCACAGTATGCTTCGTTCCTTCATTGGCCCAACTCAGGATGATTGGGATGACTTGTTACTTGTGGTTGAGTTCGCAGTGAACAATTCTATCCATGAAGGTACCCATGAAAAACCCTTCATTCTGAACAGTGGTCGGCATCTCACAACACCTGCTATGCATGGGATCGGCGGTCTGCAAGTCCCTGCCGCAAAAGAATTTGTGGGCAAGCAGCAAGAAGTGCTCAACTTTGCTTGCCGATGGCTGCAACTGTCTCAGCAGCGTCAAAAGTCTTATGCCGACATGAAACGCCGGGAAGTCTCTTTTGAGGTTAGAAACAAGGTATTATTGACAAGGTACGCACCACCAATGATAGTCGTCGGAGAGGAACTCTTTTATGAGGTCGAGCGTGTGCTCATGCACCGTGATCGACAGCGTGGCCGCAGGACAGTACGCGAGTTCCTTATTAAAGCCCGAGTCTCATATTTCCTACCGATCAAAGGTATTACCTTTGGTGGGGGGTTCTGATTGGGGGGCGAGGGACAAAAAAATGAAAGTGAGTGGGCGAGGGTTGCGACAATTTTGAAAAATCGTTGAGGGTCCAACTTTGACGAGGCTTGGAGTCTCATATTTCTGCGGAGCCGTATTACGTTTGGTTTGAGCCCAGGGAACGTTGAGGGCGTGGATGGTGGGGGTCGGGCTCTCAAAAATTCGCAATTATTTGCGATTCCAGTGTTGGATTTTGGGCCGAAATTTTGTTGCGTGAGACATTTCGGGTCCTGATTCTGTGTCACCAGCCTAGGTTCCGAAAACTCGGTTATTACGAACGGGTCTTCGGGTTCGCTTTTCTGAGGTTGTATCTCTCTCGCGCAGTCACTTGCGAGCCCACGTACAAAGAGAACCTACGTTACCTAGTACCAAGAGTATTACCTTAGGAAAGATGAGACGCGGGCTTTAAATGGAAAGGCTATGGACCTGAACACAACTCATGGGAGCCAGAGGAACATTTGACCGAAACAACGGTTCACGGATATCTAGAAGACCTGGCTCAACGAGCAGCCTCACAACTAGTGGATGGTGTTGACCCTGATCGTAATGTGATTCGGCATGCTCGAAGCACCCGTCTCCAGAAGCACTCTATGGCAATGAGGACGTTGCCACCTTGAGGGGGAGGAGTGTAATGCTTGGTCTATGAACACTGCGCGGGCCTACGAAACTACCTTCCCAACGGCCTATCTCAAGTTTGCTACCTATGCTAGGTATCGCAAGATGGGAGAAGGGGTTGGGAGGGGAGTTTTGGGATTGGTCGAGATTGAACCAATTATATTGTACTTGTACATGTTGACTTGGCAAAAATTCCAACCCACGCGATGGATGGATTTGCAACAAATCAGAATTAGGGAGCTGGTTGGCAACGCCAAATCAACTAGAATATTCCTATGCTGTACACCAAATGCTGATCTGAATACATTGTTGTAAACCTCTCATTGGTTGGAAATCTAACCCTTTGCCACATAAGCTAGCTCACCTCCTTGGAGCCATGGAGGAGGTGCAGCAGCTGGCGGGAGTCATTGGAAGGGGTCTGAGATGAGAAGCTCATTCTCAACTTCCCACTCCAAGAAATCAATCTTGAAATGGGATTTTTCTCTAAGCCATGAGGCTCCCCTCACAAGCCTCCCTACACTAGTAGTTTCTAGTGTGGTCTCCTAGGGAAAACTCTACCCAACCAGAGCCCCAACTACTACCCTCCAAGAGCCTTCCTCAAGCTTAAGCTCCTTCTTAGAGAGGGTTCTTTCCTAAGTACAGCGCTAGGAGATTGCTAGTTGATGTTGTACTCCGTTATTATATCCTAGGATCTTGGATGTTGATCTAAAATTCAACCCTATTTTGTCCATGCTATAAGGGCAAGGGTTGTTACAACAGTCGCTACTGTACGCTACAGTCGCTGAGCGCACATCACCGCGCGCTCCTCCCGCGACAAAGTTATCACCGCAGACCCATCCAAACGCCCCGTGGAAAAGTTCCCGGAACTCCCAGGGGACAAACGGAGTGAGAGGATGTTAAATCGGCGGAGTTTAGATGTTCCGTGACTCAAGAGTTGCCGTGGTAGCGTGCACTGCCTACCAGCGTTCGCGCAACGCGTCGCAGTGGCACCACCACTAGCAGAAGCAGCAGCAGCAGCAGCACTATAGCCAAGTTGCACAGCTATCGCAGCTGCAAGAACATCTGCACAGGCGCCGTATAGTCACGACGATTCAACCGCGAAACGAGCTAACATAGCCACAACAGCAACCGCAGCAGCAGGAGCAGCAGCAGCAACCACCGGAGAGGAGAGCAGAAAAGGCGGAGAAGGCAAGGAAAGCAGGTGAGAGTCGGCACGGAAGTGAGTTGCCCCTTAACAACCCGGACACTCGCAGCGAGATAGGCGAGATTGACGAGATAGACGAGGTTGACGAGATCGACGAGATTGGTGATGCCTTATCGCCCATCCACGTGGCCGCGACGCGTTTTGAGTCGACTCAAGACACTCGTTGCGAGACAGCCGAGATACCAGATGCCGTATTCCTCACCAACGCGGCGGCTGCGTTGAGAGGAGGCGAGCCTATGATGATAAAAACTGGCTGTTAAGAATTTGGGCGTGCTGTGGACGTGGATAGAGGATATGAGATGTTGAAGGCTCTTGAGGATACGATTAGAGAGGCGATAGGAGAGAGGGACGAGGTGATGGCGGCTCTTTGAGCGGCTGTTAGGGAGAGGGACGATGCGAAGGCGGCTCTCAACGAGGCTGCTTGGGAGAGGGACGAGTTAGTGAAGGCCGTTGAGGGGGCGATTGGAGGGAGGGATGATGCGCTGAACGTTATTGAAGTGGCAGTAAGGGCGCTGGGAGGGGTGATTGGAGGGGACCTTGGGAGGATTGGAGGGTCCATTGGGGGGGCGATTGGAGGGGCAATTGGAGGGGCGGTTGGGGAGGCGATTGGAGGGGAAATTCCAGGGAGGGATGAAGCTATGGTGAAGTTTGCGTGGAATGCTTAAGTAAGTGCGAAATATGTTTAAGTGCAAAGGGGGGGGCTGTACGAGAGGTAAGGTGGAAGGGAGGTGGAAGGAGAGGCAGTGTAAAGAAGCTGTTATGGTAAAACACTTTGTGGAGAGGCGGTGGAAAGAAGAAGAAGAAGAAGAAGAAGAAGAAGATGTCAAAAAGAACGAAGCATGTGTAAACGAGGAAGAAGCAGATGTCAACGAGGAAGAAGCCGGTGTCAACGAGGAAGAAGCAGGTGTCAACGAGGAAGAAGCAGCAGAGAGGAAGTGGGAAGAAGCCAAGGGAAGGCTTGAAGAGGTGAAGGGAATACTTGAAGTATTTTAGGGGAAACAGATGGACTCTGAGAGACAACTGGAGGAATTTGCGAGGAGATTGGATGAAAGCGACAAGAGATTGGAAGAAATGGGGAATGAGAAGGTGGAGGCGGAGAGGAGGAGGGAAGAGGCAGAGACGAGGATGCAGGAGGCAGAGAGGGGAAGGGAGGAGGAAAAGAGGGGGAGGGCGACGGCGGAGGCACGAGCATGTGCAGTAGAGAGAGCGAGAGAGGAGGCTGAAGAGAAGGCAAGGCAGGCAGAGAGGAGGATATTGGAAGGTGAAGAGAAGATGAGAGAGAAAGAAGCAAAGCAATTAGAGGCAGAGAAGCGGGCGAGGGAGAACAAGGTGAGGCGAGAAGAGTTTGAGAAAAGAGTTTGTGAGGCTGAAGAGAGGAGGGCAGATGTGGAGTGGAAGTTGGAAGAAGCGACTAAGGAGAAAGCAGAAGCTGAGAAGCGGCGGGCGGAAGCGGGATGGTTGAGGCTGTTGAGAGGATGGAAGGCGCAGAGAAAGCGCGAGCGAAAGCAGAGGAGGAGAGGTATACGACAGAGAGGCGGAGAGAAGGTGCGATAAGGGAAAGGGAGGAAGCTGTAGTGGCCTTGGAGAAGGCGAAGGAGGTGAGTGAGAGGGAGAAGGAGGAGGCTGTGAGAGGGAGAAGGAGGAGGCTGTGAGAGCGAAGGAAGAGGCAGAGAGACGGCTGGAGGAGATGATGGTAGAGGTGAGGAGGGCGAGAGAAGAGGCTGAAAGGGAGAGGGAGGAGGTTGAGAGGAGGGCAGAGGAGGTTGAGATGGCAACTGAGGTGGCAGAGAGAAGAGTGAAGGAAGCAGAAGAGGCAAGAGAGGAGGCGCAGAGGCTTTGGGAGCAAGGTTGAAAAAAACGGTTTCAGAAAAAAAACGGCAGTTTTTTTTCGAGCAGATTGGGAAAAAAACGCCGTTTTTTTAATAGAGCATGTTGGAAAAAAAAAAAACCTGGAAATCTCGCCAAAACGGCCTGGGGCATCGCGTATGCTTTATTGATTAACATGGCATCGAGAAACACAAAAAAAACGGGTAAAATTGTAGCTCCCCTATAATTCCTCCCCTTTTCCTACCCCTCCTCCTCCTCCTCCTCCTCCTCCTCCTCCTCCTCCTCCTCCTCCTCCTCCTCCTCCTCCTCCTCCTCCTCCTCATCCTCCTCCTCCTCTTCCACCTCCTCCCCATCAACCCCATTATGGTTCAGCTCCCATGGGTTGGCCCCTCCATGGTCCGCATCCTCCCCACTTCCATCACTAGCAATCTCAGCCTCCACCTCCTCCTCCTCCTCCCCCTCCGCCTCCTCATGTAAGGTACATGGGTTCTTCTTCCCCTTTCCCCCCTTGGTAGGCTTTCTTCCCCGCTTCCCTGCCTTGGCCTTCCCCTTCTTCTTCCCCCTTCCCGCAATCATCCCAAAGGTCCACCAATCAATGGTGCACCCGCCACCACCCTCCACCTCGCCCTCCTCCTCCTCATCCCCCTCATCTCCCACATCCTCCCCTTCTGGAAGAGGGGCAGTGGGCTCAGGGCAGCCCTCCTTCGGGAAAGTGTTGACTTCGCACTTTTGCCGACAGGTTTGTACACCGGACTCGAGAAATTCGAAAACAAAACTAACATTGAAATGAACTATATTTGGTTTGAAAAAAACGGCCGTTTTTTTTAACCAATCCAAAAAAACACCTTAAAAAAAAATACGGCCGAAAAATACGACACCGTATTAAACGGATTTTTATTATAAAAAAACACCATTTTTTAAAATATTGTCTAGGAGGAAGCAGATCAAGGCTACGGGATGCTGCTGAGGCAGCAAAGAGGGAGGCAGAGAAGGCAAGGGATGAAGCACTGGAAGGAAAGGAAGAGACTCTGAAGTCGGTGGCTGATGCTGATGAGGCGAGGCGAGAGGTTGAGGTGAGGCTTCAAGTACTAGCGCATGCAAGGGAGGAGGATGAAACGGCAAGGGTGGAGGCGGAGAAGGTGTGGAAGGAGGCAGTGGAGAAGGTGGCAGCGGCGGAAGAGAGGAGCGAGGAGTAGAAGAAGCAGAGAGGGCAAGGGAAGAGGCAGAGAGGGCGAGGGAGGAGGCAGAGAGTGCAAGGGAAGTTGCTGAGGAGAAAAGGGAAGGAGCTGAGTGGGTGAGGGAGGAGGCGATGCTCAGCCGAGCCATGGCATGCGTTGCGTGTGCCGCGAAGGACGAGGCAATGCAGTCTATCCTCAACGAGCTTGTCGCCGCCCAGGCTGCCTCCGAAGGTGCGATAGTTTCGGCCGCTGCCAACACTGCTGAGGAGGTTCGGGCGGAGCTTTGGATGGCACAGGAAGGGTGGGAGAAATGGCTGAACGAAGTGGAAGGGGAGCTGGAACGTGTGAGAGGGGAGGGGGTGAGTCTTGGGAAGAGAGCAAAGGAAGCAAAGGGAGAAGTTACGAGAGGGTGGAGGGAGAGAGGAAGGGGAGGGAGTAGGAGAGAGTGGCTAAGGACGATGAGAGGAGGGCAAAGGAGGAGGAGAGGGAGAGAAGGTAGCAGGCAGAGGCCTGGAGGAGGGCCACAGAGGAGGAGGTGCATCTGGTGAAGGAGGATCTTGAGGTGATGAGGAACGCCAAGAGGGAGACGGTGCGCAACCTCACCGACTCGCTGGTGGCGGCAGAGCAGCAGCGGAAGAAATTCATGGCTCTGATGCGACTGGGGGAAGTCTTTGAAGGTGAGTGCAACAGGGGAATTGTTTTAAGGCGGCTGCAATCGAGGAGTCTTCGAAGGTGGGTTCAGTGTGCAAGCCGTGTCTTGATGGTGAGTGAGAGAAATTCGTGTCTCCGATGCGATTGCCAAACGGTATTTGAGGTGAGTTCAGTATGATTGTAAGGTGGGTTCTGGTTCTAAGTGATTGTGTGATAGGTTGGCAAGGGGAGAGTGTGCAGATTGTGACTTTTGTCAAACGTTATTTGAGGTAAGTTCTGGCGGAAGCCGAGGAACAAATGCAGAGGCTAGTGGGTGGGTTATATAAAACACATCTATGCAAATCAATATGGTCATTAGAGTTAGGGAGTTGACATGAGGTACATGGGCTTGTGGACTGTGGGTGATGCATGTATGCTGGGGAAGTATTGCATGGGGGTTGTTGAGTGGCAAGCTTGCGTTGACTAACAATCGTGCTTTGTGCACATCATCTTTTCTTGCAGGCCTCTAGCCCTTCCTGTTATTTCCATAAAAAAGACGTCGTCCACGATCATGCACGCCATTTATACATATACTATGGCCACCATCTATAATGGGTTCTTTATTTATGTAAATGTCTCTTACTTTTTATGGTATGTTTTTGTCAATCCCTAGTCTTGGTGGTTCGTGAAGCAACTAGTGTATACGTGAACCCCGTCAGTACCAGGCTAACCCTAGCAGTGTGCAGAGTGAAGGCCCTGTTCGGTAGGCAGACATTCCGGAGTGCAGACGGTGTGAAGTAGTTGCGAGAGTTGGCTCGGAAACCGCTTAAAGCGAAGCAATAATTTTAATCACACCGAGCCTCCTGGAATACGGGATTGTACAGAACACCAAAATCGGAAGGAATGCGGAAATTGCACCAGCCTGCGGATGCGGGTAATAAAATTCCAACCAACGGTCAATGTGAATTCCAGCTTTCTAACAAGAAGGGGGAATGCAACCCAACTTCCCGCGCTACCTAACCCAGGCAGTATTCGGCAGCCACCAGGAAGAAACATGTGGGAAGGGGGGACAAAATGAATCAGGCTGGTGTCGGTGATCAAAATTTGTGCGCGTGCCATCGACACCTACCCCGTACGCGACTCGACCGACATGCGGGTGGGGGGAAAAGGGTGGAGGAGGGGGGGAGCTAAACAAAAGCGCGAGCCCCCCCTACAGAAGCCTCGCACATGAAATGGATATTTCAGAACAAGGCTCCCCCACTCTAGATGGGCTCCCGATTCATTTTCGGGAATCACAAGCGACTTACACTCATGAGTTTGAGCTGGCGTGGTTTGGGAAGAAAGAGCATATCGTTATGGTTGCCCCTGGTTAGGAGTGTATGGAGTTGTTTTCCAGCCTGCCCGATTCTGAGGAATAAGCATGCATGCTGGGGGTGAGGAACCAAACTCAAGCCTGCACCCTTCATTCGCGAATACCGCCGCGGAACGCTTCCGCCGATGGGGGAGCTGGATGCAGGCTGCGTTCTGCAGGCAAAAAAGGAAAGTGCAGATTACATCAGAGCACCTTCCGAAAGCGATAGATTTTGCTTCGGATCGAGGGTCAGCCCGCAAATTTTCCCCCAAACCTGGCACAACGTATCCGAACCTAGTTACATCAATATGCCTGCAGAACACGTCAATCTACAGATGACATCTACGTCAGGGAAACACCCCCCTCGCTTCCCTCCCTGACAAATTTGACGCAAACTTGACGCAATGCTGACGTTCGCTCAATCGCGGAGTCCACCTTGCGTGTGGCGTTACATCAGGGCCCTGATCGGTTGGCCGTATTCTGGAATAAGGATGATGTCGAGCAATTTCTCAGGGCTGGCTCGGAGCAGGCTTAAAGCCAACCAATCTTTTTAATCACACCAAACCTCATGGAATAGAGGTGCGTACCGATCACAAGAATAAGGAAGGCTGGAATACGGCATGAGGAAATGGCACCTAGCTGCTGACTCGGGCGAAATCGTGCCAACGCCGGTCGATGTGTATTCCAGCTTTTTTGCAGGAATAGCTGGGAATAGTGAAGAGGGGCAATCCAGATGCAATAACGAATGCCCTTATTTCGGAAACGGGAAACGTCGAATACCCAATACCAGGCTGTATCTGACCGCCAAGAAAACAAATGCAGGGTCGCATTTCGAAATCAAGCCAGATGCAAGGCCCTAGACACTTTTTTTTTTCAAGAAACCCTTTTGTTTTTCGTGACCCAGATCGTGGCGGGCAAGTTTGGAGATCTGCCAGCTCAGACACGTCAGTTACATCACGCAATTTCGCACATAAACCAGCCCAACTTCTCGCATTACCTAACCTGGCGAGTCAACGCACGGAATACGGAAAGCTCGCAGCGGATTCCGTTTTCCGTATTCCGTATTCTGGAATAACGGCTTACCGATCATGGCCTAGACGCAATTTGGCTCCTCTCTCATTTCGCTCGCGCTTTCCACAATTTGGCCGCGTTGCTTCCAAGCGAGGTTTGGAAAGTGCACCTGACTTGAGTGGTAACCAGTGCTCTCGACGTCGACGTCAACGTCAAATGCCTGGAGAACTCAGCCATTGGCTGTGTTCTACAGGCATTTGGCGTTGACGTCGATGTCTACATTGAGGAAGCTCCTCAAGCGACTTCAAGAGCACTGGTTACCACCCAAACCATGTGCACTTTCCCAACCTCGCTTGGAAGCCTCGCGACCAAATTGTGGAAAGCGCAAGCGAAAGGAGAGGAGATAATTTCAAAATTGCGCGAAAAAAAACTTCTACCCCAGGGCAGGAGAGAAATTATCTGGGGCAAAATGAGAAAAAAAGGTTAAGCTGAGGTATGACTCGTTGGCGATGGGTTTGTTTAGCTGCTGTTTTTTTGCAGGGCAGGCCCAAGCTCGCGAGGGGGGGTAAAGTGGTGGCGGTTGTATTTTTGGGGTGTGGAGGCCTAGTACACCCTTGCGGTTGATGTAACGCCACACGCAAGGTGAACTTCGCGATTAAGCGAACGTCAGCATTGCGTCAGGTTTGCGTCAAATTTGCCAGGGAGGGAAGCGACGCGGGTGTTTCCCAGACGTAGATGTCATCCGCAGATGGACCTGTTCTGTAGGCATGTCGACGTAACTAGGTTTGGGTACGTTGTGCCAGGTTTGGACGAAAATTTGCGGGCTGACCCTCGATCCGAAGCAAAAAATCTCGCTTTAGGAAGGTGCTCTGACGTAATCTGCACTTTCCTTTTTTGCCTGCAGAACGCAGCC